AGCAGTTTACTATAGTTAATTATGGTAATTTTTGCTTAGTAGTAGCTTCCCTCTGAAGAATCAAGACTACTTAGAAAAAGCCCCAGCCTTGGGCATGACTTTGTAAGAATATTTTTTTGCTATTTATTATTTTACAAAGCTAAGCAGCAGAAACTTAAAACCCAGAAGGGGAAAAAAAAAAAAATGACAGAAAGAATAAGCTTTCAGGAGCTTCACGACACCACGTGGTACACGATCAGACCACGTTTGCCTTTCACAGACATCAGACACCAGCTCAGTGTCTGGGTTGCAGTGTCTGGGTCTCCTACCACAGCCCCTTTCCTGCCACACCATCCCACAGATTTAGAGACCAGCAGGATCACAGAGCAACAGGATGCTACTGCCAAGCACTTCTCCAGGAAGAATGTAGAAATAGGGCTTTCAAAATGCCACAAGCAAGGAGACCCTGCTTCTTCACATGAATTAAGCCATGGACAAGACCATGACACACGTTAAGAAAAGCCAGTCTGTGCCAACTTGCACGTCCCCTCTTGGTTACTCCCTTACTGGTGAAACAAGAAAAAAATCCAAATAAATCTCCCCCACAGCCCATGCTTTTGACCTCAGCAGCAGCACTCTTACCTGCAGCCATACTACCCAAAATTTCAACCCAAGCTGGTTTCCAAGCATGAACCAAACTGATTATTTCTCTGAGTACCCCCAGTTGTGTTCAGTTTCAAAGAGGATGGAGTTGATTTATGACAAGAGGCAAGCTTCTCGCACTGAGAGGCACAAACATCCTCCAAAACCAGCAGGCCAGGCAGTGAGGAATTAAGACTTGCTTTCCCAATGGCTGAGCAAACCTGCCACCCTGCTGCCTGCACCCCGAATGCTCAGCCTTGCCTGAGTTAAACAACTTGTCTTTTTCCACTCGCTTTTACTGCTCTAAATCAAGGTTATTAACCTCTGTTTCCCAGGCTTTCCCTCCAGGTTTCCAATGGGAAAAAGAAGTCCTTATTTGGAGAGAATAAGGAGAATTTTCTCCTGGAAATGAGAGAAAAAATGAGGAAAATTGACAGTTTGCCTTTGATTTCTATAGCTATAAAGTCCTCGCAGATAATCTGAGGGCTTTAATATATAGATTCTTTCTTTTACAGAGGTGAAAATTTGACAGCTTTTATCAATTACAGAAATATGTAATCTTCCAGTCTGCTTTGCTACTGTGGAGTTTGTTTCATCTTCAGGCTCTCCTTTTAGGCAATTTAGCGATTCATCTGGGAATCTAGAAAGCATTTGGAGCAGTTTAAGTCAAACTTTCAAATATTTATCGCAAGGTGGGTTTGAGGTAGGCACGAGAATGTAAAATACTGAGTTCAAAGCCTCCTGCGTTCTGCATCTCAGAGCTAGAGGAAAGGGAGGAGAAAGAAAATCTGTATTAACTAATTTAATCAAAGGCAGGCATCTAAGCAATCACCACGGTCCTTTCCAGAAGTTCTCACTCTCTGGATGTTGTAGCTATTTGCCAAGTGGTTTGAACAGCTTAATTGTTCTTTAGTGTAAAAGAAAGTAATTGATTTCTGAAGTTACACAGCATTGAGAAAAGTCACCTGCATTTTCCAGAACATCTTTTTAAATACCGTTTGCCTCTTTCAGCAAGGAAAAGTCTGGGTCTGCCTGCTTTCAAACAATGAAATTCTGGATGTCAGCAAGCTTCTTCAGAGGCAGAAGAGACTTGTTTTAAGTTCAGATATAGTTGTTGCGTTAGGTCAAACTGATCCTGCACAAGAGAACTTAAACGACCCTCAGGACCCTTCCCAGCCCTATTTCTTATTATCCCAGGGTAAACACCTGGGTAAAGCCCCTCCAAGAAAACAGAAGGACAATTCCTGCAACAATGTCAGCAACAAAGGCAGAGACAAAATACACATTTCTCCCCACCAAACTGCATAACCCTTTTCACCACCAGGAGCAATAGCTAGGGATGGCATATCTGTGAGCCTTTTTGCCTCAGGGATAGCTCTGCTTTTCCCACGTCAAGTCTATCTCCTGTCAACCCCACAACTGAAGGTTTTTGGAGTTTTACCTGTCCCCCCACTCTCTCCCTTCCTCATCACAAGGGTGAACAATGATCAACCCCCCAGGAAAACACTCATCCACTGCATGGCTACCGCGGTGAATGGAAAAGGGATGGGAAAGCCTCTGAGAGCTTGGAGAAGCCAACAGGGCTCAGCAGTCCAGATCCGCTCTTCTCTGCGCATCGGGACATGCGGAGGCTAATCCCTGCAGCACTGCTTCTCTTGTCACAGTACAAATCTTCCTCTTCAGGACTAGATTAGAGAAGGTAAAAGCAAATCACGATAATACCTAGCTCTTAAATAGTGCTTTTTAACCACAGATCAATGCAACTTACACAGAATAGCTCAAAGAGTTATAACAAGGTCCAGGATTGTGCTAATAGTCAACAGACAAACCTCAAAGCCCTGCATAGAGATGCTTATGTTATGGGGTCAGCATCCACACCAGGGGGTTTCAGTTCCCTTTCCCAGTTTTCTTTTCCCAAATTCAGCCATGTGCACTCAGGAGCAGCTGGCGCGACATCAGATGGAAAGCCTCCTCGCAGTCCTCCCCACGACCACCTATGGCTTCAATAACCAACGCACAAAAGATGACTGAGCTGGCACTTGCCTTCTGGGCTGGCATCAAAAAACCCTGCTCTCTCATTAGCCAGGCCTCTCCCCCGTGCCACTGCCGAAGCAGGGCAAAAATAGCACATGAAAGAGATGCAGAACTTTCTTCTCACAGATCAGCCCCGATTAAAAGGACTGCCTCATGTCCCACGTGGCTGAGACAACATGTAGGGAACTCCTGCCCTGGCTTTTCTGCATCTGTTCAGCAATGCCATTACACTCTCGCTAGCCAAAACCTGCCCCTTTGCACCACAAAGACTTTCCATACATCCCAGCACAACACTCACTGGGGATAGGGACATAGAAATATACAGGGGAAAAAACACAGAAAGAAGCTGTAGGGCAGCAGCTGCTTTGGTGTCACACCGCAGCCCTAACCTCAAGAGTGCTGCAAGAGCTCATCAACACCTGTCAAACGACTTGACCTCTCCCTGTCTCATTTAGCCATCTGCCAAACGAGGCTAATGCCACCTCACTAGGTTGCGGTGACCAGCAAGCAGACAAGTCCCACAAAATCTGTGGACAGAGCAGAGCCCCCACCTTACAGGCACATGGCCTTGGTTTGAGAGCACCCTGCCCCTTCCCAGCCAGGGACCACTCAGCCCCCAAACCACGAAGTCCTCCAGTCAAGGCAGCGAGGATGATGCTCCTGCACAGAAGGAATTAAGCAGGAGCGTTGTGCAGCAGCGCGTTCCCCCTGATGTGCCTATCAAAATAATTATAGCAGGTGTATGCAAAATGGGCTCTGGGTAAATGGGCTCCCTACTTTGTTTGGGTTTGGCCAGAATGATTGCCTATGAAGGAAATCGGAGAGCTTTAGGCGGTTATTATTGTTAAAGACAGTTTGCAGAGAGGAAAAAAGAAGTCTCATTTGAATAACAAAACAATTTTTGTTGATTGCTGTTGTTGTTTATGAGCTACTTAAGCCCTGGGGTAGGTAAAAACGGGGAAAATAAGAGGAATTTGTCTGTCAAACATTTTAAAATGGATGCTATCCATGATAAAAATCTTATTTTGAGTTTGAGCAATGAGCAGCACATCACACACTTTCTAGGAAGGAAATTAAAATAAAAGGGATTTCATGAGCCATGAAAAGTGTTGTAAAAACCAGTGCATATATATTTTAAAATAAACACAAGTAATACTTCATCCCCCTTTAAACACTCAAGCCTTTTAATTTACTCAGCCAAAAACTTACCACCATCACAGTTGGAACAGCTTGGAAAACAAGGAGCCATTTAGGCATCTCCCCTTCAAGTCACAGGGAGCGGCACTCCTGGTGCAGAGGATGAAGCATGAGGTGCCCCTGACCCCACACTCCTCATCCCCCCTCACCCACTGAGGTTGTGGAGTGGCATTGTGCTGGAGATGGGGACCCCAGAGCCCACCAGCACCAGAAGAAGCTGTAACCTCCTGCTACAAGCTGGAGAGGGTCACAGAAAAAGGACACAGCACGGAGCAGCCACACCTACGCAGAACAGTTTTGACATCAGCACCATTTCCCTCTTTGGCTCCCTATAAAATATGCAGAATTTAATAGCCCAGCGTTCACTGCAGGGAATGAGCTGGGCACCCAAAGGTCACAGGTGATGGACCTGAGCAGCTCCAGTATTAAACCCATTTCTCATAACCAAGCAAGGAAGGGACCAGAGCTGTCTGCATCACTTCTTCGTGCAACCACCCATGGAAGTCAACAGTAAAGAAGTAGAGGCAAAAAAATCCACAGATATTGTAGTATTTACATGGAAATGTGCACACTATGAGGCCTTCAGATTTCAGAAGTTTGGCACTTTTAGAAAAAAAACATCCCTCCTACACTCCAGGGAGTTAGCCCTGCTTGCTTTTGCTTTTTCTTTTTTAAGCCTAACAAAAAAGATAGACTTATTGCAGACTTCTCACAGGATATGTTCACAACATTTAAATTACAAAAACCAATCACTCTTGACAGGCATCATTGACATATTTTGATTTAAAAATTAAAAAGGTTCATTCTTTATATAGAAAGAGAAAAAAAAAACATATTTCAGGTAATTGCTTTGCAAGTGGTGACTTGTTATAAATGGATCAGCGTTTTCTTCCAAAGAAACACCTAAAGATATTCTTCATTAGCTCTAAGCTCATTACTACAAAGCCACCTGCACTCCGTGGTGACACAAAGTCACCCTGCCAGCAAGTGCTGGAGCTTTACAAAAGCCATGAATAGGAAGGAGAAGGAGAGGATTCACCCCTTGCCTGCCCAGGGACCAGCTTCAGCCCCCACCTAATCCCAGGGAGCTCTCTGTCAGCCCCTCGCCCCGTAATCCCTCCAAACCAGCCCCATCCCAACATCCTCACCTTCCATGCTTCATTTGTGCCATTTATCCACTGCTGTTTCCTTGCCTTGGTTTGATCCATCATCAGTGTGGGAATTCCCAATTGCCCAGGATCACCAGAGCCTTTCTTTGAAGGATTTTCCAGCCTCAGTGAGCACAAGCTTTTCACAACAAGACACCGTCGTTGCTTCTCACACACGGGCATTCATCTCAGCTGGGGGAAAAAAAAAATAAAATAAAAAATAAGGTATTTGGCATGGAATAGGCAGACTTTTTTTCCCAAAAATGAACAGAAGACCCCAAAGAAGCAAAAAAAAAAATAAAATCATTTTGTTTCCCTTTTCAGAAGTTGAGGATATTTCAGGATTCCCTTTAGTCTTTACCTCCTTTCCTTAAACCCTATCCTAATTTCTGTATCCCAGAAAAGAGGAAAGGAGGTGGAGAAAGAGGAGGGAAATGGACCTAAACTTAAGAATTCGGGATGTTGGAATTGTCACAGTTGCGACAATTTTGTCATTTAAATAGAAACAAACTGTCTGTTACTTCATTAAAAAAAGCAGCAGAAGAAGTGGAAATGGTGGAAATGAGAGCTGCACCATGAAAGCTTCCCTTCTCTGCTTCTGGATGGGGTTTGGGATTTCTCCCTCGTGCCTTCGGTCAGTTTTGACCTGCTGAACTTCAGGGGAGGCCCAGACCCCCGACTACTGCAGCCAGCACGGCCCCCATCCTCCTCCCCACTCAGTCAGAAGGGAGCCAGGGGCAACCAAATGAATTTGGCACTCCTTGCCCCCAGGAGCACGCACGCCCTATGCTCAGGGACACATTTTGGGTCCAGGGATGAGCCCCCAGAGGCAGCAGGGACACGCAGTGCTGCCAGGGCATGTGGTTTAAATGCCATAGAGAGACAGGGCTCATGTGTCTTGCTGTTTTGTATAAAGGATCCTAGCTGTTATTAAATCAGAGGGGAAGTAAGATGGGGGGCAATAAAAAGATTTCCAGGCTCCAGCTATCAGGTCAAACTTTCACATCATGAGCGTTTCCTTGCCAGAAAGGAAAAAACAGGACAGCAGCTGGGGCATGGGCCTCAGAGCTGCGTTCCCATTTCTCCTGGCAACCTGCTGAGGTTGCTCTTAGGCTGTTAACCTTTGTGAATGGGATCCGCACACCCACACTGCCTGTGGGGCAGTCTGTCCCACTCCTTTCCTTGGATCCTCCTTAAACCTGACAGCCAATTCTATGAAGGAAATGTGCTGCTTTTACCAGAGCCAGGCTGCGTTTGTAGGGTCCAACTCACAGCTGCAGATCCCAGCCCAAGGAACGAGGAAAGTGCTAAATTCCTTTCCTCGGAGCCCTCCCGCCCTTTGTCAGGCCACACTGCTGCACACCACAGGCAGCTGCTGCCACTGTGGGAGCACCACCACCAGAATTAAACAAGCCCCATCTAGGAGCCGCACCGCGCACTCCACCTCATTACCCGAGAGGATTCTCAGCATCAAATCCTCTTGTTTTTACCAGCTCTGCGACTCGTGGAGGATTGGAAGCACAAAGCAATCAGGAAAAGCGAATGTTTTGCAGATCAGACGCTGCTCATCACAGCACATTACAGCTCCTAAATTATTAACAGTAAAAAATGAGGTGTCCCAGAGCTGCTCGCTTCTGGGTAGGGAGAGTAGGGGAGGGGGTAAGAAGAAAGGATTGTGCTATCACAGGTTATTTTTATCCAACATTTCTATGCTTCTGTCATTAACTAATTGATGACACAGCCTGTTTAATATTATGTCTGCTCGGGTATTTATAGCTCACCAATTACCATAGTATCTAGGTGCTACTAACAAGCTGCTCTCCGATGAATTTGGATGCTCACAGGCAAATCTTTTGGTTCAAGTAAGCGCAACTCCCTTGCAGGCAGCACTTACGGCGTTTTATACCAGCTGGGGATGTACTGGAAGCACTTCACACGTGGTGAGGCCGGATCCCAGCTCACCCACCTGGGGATGCAGCAACATGAGGAACGAGGCACCAAAAGGCACCTCGTGGCAGTAGCCACCTTGGACACCTCTGATGTTTCTGCTGTTCTTGCTGTCATATCTAAGATCTCACTGTAGGTGAGTTCACAGCACCCAGCAGCTACAACTCAAGCTGGATGAGGTCTTGCCCCTTGACACAGACATTTAGGCGATGTTGCTCGAAGAGAGGAGCTGCAGCACCCCCAGGAGCTGTTAGGGACCCCAGGCAGCCCCTTGCTGGTGCCAGACGCCTGATCCCAGGAGCCTCTCAAGTGCACAAGCAGGAGCCTTTCCCCACATTAACAGGGCGATTTTCTGCTACTTACCAACAACATCAGTGCACGGGCATTTTGTTCCTGCCTTTACTGAGCAAGCCTGAGAAGTAATGAAACCTGGGGAGAACATTTGAACCTTCATTGTGCAGGGTAAATGCTCTCTAACATTAACAAATCAAAAGGCATCGCTTCCCAAATAGCAAAATGCCAGCCATTTAGATTAGCCATGCTCAGATTCCTGCTGAGATCAGTGTGTAATTGTCCACCAGCAAGGAATAATCTCTCAAAATTAGTGCTTGTCGCCAGGCTCCAGCCTGCCTGCAGCAGCACTTAACAGGGCTTAGAGCCCAAATGCATCGAAATCTGCTTTTGACCCCGAATCAAAGAGCCGGCTTTCTGGTGGCATTCTCCTTGTAGCTGCCCTCTGCCTCCTTTTTAATCCCTCCTTCACAAGCTGATTTAGCTTGGCCTTAAGGAGCAGCTTTGTTTTATGAACTGGCACAAGGCCCACCCCTGCCTCCCTCTGTGAGACCCACCAGGGCTCCAAGAGCTGCTGCTATCCCCGCTCGTGTTGTGTTAGGAGGGATGTTGTAGAGGAGACAAGTCATGATACAAGGCTGAAGGCTCCAGCCAGCCCCGCAGGAGACCTGCTGTGCCTCTCCCACCACCAAGGCACCCAGACCAACAGCTCTGGCTGGTGTGGCCAGAGCATCCCCCAGCACATGCGGAACAGCCCAGCACCAGGGCTTTCCAGCCTGCCCCATCCAGGAATTGTGCCTCCCATCCAAAAGTACTTCTCATTAGAGGTTTTATGGAAAGAAGCATAGGTATTTGCAGAGCTTCAGGTTCAAGTTTTAGCATATTCTGCTACAGGACATCTACTGAGAAAGTTTCCAACCAGCCATAAGACTTCATTCAAGGTTTGAACGCTTGTTTTTGTTCATAAAGACTGCCTGGAAAAGTCTCTGCCTCCAAGATCACATTCTCCATTGGCAGAGGGGAAAAACAATAGCCTTAATTTTAAAGGGAAAGGCTGCAGAAACATCAATGGCAAAGATTAGGTGGGCTGGGGAGAAAAGCAGCACAATTAACCTCCGTCTGCACCCAAAGGCTTTCTGCAGGCTCTTCCAGCTCAACCAGCAACGAAGCAGCACAGTTGGGGAAGGAACACTCATCACTGAAGGTTTTGTCCTTCCCCAGATGCCAGCTCACCATGCTGGGGCAGGACCTCCTCCCCCAGGGCTGCCCACACCCACAGGTTGCTCTTACCCATGCTCCATTTTTGGTGGCTGCAGTTTCACTTCCAGCTTTCCTGCTTTCTGCAAGCACACAGGCATCTGGGGACCGTCCAGAAGCTGACAAGTCCCACACAGGACAAACACCTCTACAGCAATTACAGGGAAGCTTTCTGCTTCCTTCAGTGCCTTGGGCAGCTGCAGAGGGAACAGACAAGAGGCTCTGCCTTCCCTCCGCACTCCCAGCTCAGAAACAGGCAGAAGAGACCAAAACAGCAGTCCAAAAAGCTGAATAACCTCTCCCAGACATACTCAGGTGGAAAAAAAAATCAGAGTAAAGAGCAAGGTCCTGTAGAAGTCACGAAATCATTCACCTCAACATCAGTCATAATCTGTCAACACTTCCCCTACAATGCACACAGGAGAATAAAGTTTTTGGGCTAAGCATGGTGCAGGTCAGCTCAGAGCACAGCTGCTTGGCTCAGGAGCTATTCCCCATTGCTGCCTGAAGAGGCAAAAGCAGCCCCTGCACAGAGCAGTTATTTTTTCTTTCCCACCGCATTGCCTTCTTCAGCTGCTCCTTTCTTGCGAGGCTTGCAGCACCCAGGCTCCCCAGGATGAGTCCTGCCCCACCTTCAACTTGGGCAGACCAACAGGGACATGGGACACGTTACCCACCCCTCGTGCCCCTAACTGCCTTGTTACCCACTCTCTGACCAGCATCTTCCTGCTCTAGGGCTCTGCAGAGCTGCTGAGCACCACCACTGAGCATCCAGCTCTGCCCACAGCCCCCCTGCCCCACATTCACATGGCCCAGGCAAATCTTTTCAGCAACCAGAGCCCAGCCCTGGAGGTCAGCCCCATCCCTGGGGAAGGCTGGGCATTTCCATGCAGCCTGCACAGCCTGGAGGTGAGAGCAGGGCCAGAGAGCACCCTGCTCCTCAGAGGTTTCCAGACCAGAAGTGTTTGATGTAAGCTTCAAACACTCCATCAGCACACCCGCCACCCTGCCTGCATTTCATCCACCAGCAGGAAAAAAAAAGTCTTGGCTTCAGAGAGGCCTCCAGCAGCCTCACAAGTAAGAGCTTCAGGCTCATCTCCTTCACCATCTCCCCAGCCAGACCACAAGGGCTCCAGAAGGGGGGACTGAAGCGGCTGTTCCCCACTGCACAGGCTGACAGCCACACTCTGCTCCCGAGCTGCCTCAGCACGGTGAGAAAAGGAACTGTTACTGCCTAAAAGCCATGCAGTGTTTGTTATTAGCACAAATGGGAACTGCTGCAGGCCACACCGATCCCTCCACATCAGGTAATGATGGTGCAGCAGCTCCAAGCATCCCCTGGGGCGGTGCCACTTGGACACCTGGCAGCAAGCGTGGCACAAGCCCAGGGCCTGTCTCTGTTCAGTGACCCCACATCCTCTGAGCATCACCCAGCAGCACTTCTGTCCTTCAGAATAAGCACACACGACCAATGGTGCAGGAGAGGAGCCCAGCAAAAAGCTTCATCTCACCTCATACCCAAGCATCTCCCTTGACCAGCTCCTCCTGCATCCCCAGACCCAGCCAGGCTTCGACTCCTTCGAACCCGTGCCCTGGCTGGCAGCAAGAAGGGGCATAAAGCACCACGCATGCAGGCTGCAGAGCACGACAAGCCTCACCAGCCTGTCTTTTAAAGACGTGCTGCGCATACTCTACCC